GGTTCTAAATAAGGAGATATAAGGGACAGACATTATGTTGGGATGGTTCTAAATAGGGAGATATAAGGGGCAGACATTATGTTGGGATGGTTCTAAATAGGGAGATATAAGGGGCAGACATTATATTGGGATGGTTCTAAATAGGGAGATATAAGGGGCAAACATTATGTTGGGATGGTTCTAAATAATGAGATATAAGGGGCAAACATTATGTTGGGATGGTTCTAAATAAGGAGATATAAGGGGCAGACATTATGTTGGGATGGTTCTAAATAGGGATATATAAGGGGCAGACATTATGTTGGGATGGTTCTAAATAGGGATATATAAGGGGCAGACATTATGTTGGGATGGTTCTAAATAAGGAGATATAAGGGACAGACATTATGTTGGGATGGTTCTAAATAGGGATATATAAGGGGCAAACATTATGTTGGGATGGTTCTAAATAGGGATATATAAGGGGCAGACATTATGTTGGGATGGTTCTAAATAAGGAGATATAAGGGGCAGACATTATATTGGGATGGTTCTAAATAGGGAGATATAAGGGGCAGACATTATGTTGGGATGGTTCTAAATAGGGATATATAAGGGGCAGACATTATGTTGGGATGGTTCTAAATAGGGATATATAAGGGGCAGACATTATGTTGGGATGGTTATAAATAGGGATATATAAGGGGCAGACATTATGTTGGGATGGTTGTAACAAAGGCGTGAACCTTGTAACACTGAGACAAGGTTATATCTTTGAGGTTTGTAATACACATCTATATATAGGGGTGGACTGGCCTGTCGGTCTAACGGGAGAAATCCAGGTCGGCCCTCAGGAAAATATCTTAGTGGGCTCCCCAGGAAAAAATCTCGATGCCCCCCCCCCCCCCCCCAATGAAAAAATCTCGATGGACTTTCAGGAAATAATCTCGATGAACCCCTCAGGAAAAAAAAATTTGGTGCCCCCCCCCTCCCCCCAGGAAAAAAAATTTAGATGGGCCCCCCCTAGGATTAAATTTTTGGCTTAAAAAAATATTCTGAAATTCAAGTTTTGGTGGAGTTTAAAAAACAGAGGGCTTAAAAAACAACATAGACCTAGCCGTATTTGGAGAGCCAAGCAATGTAGGGCAAATTTGAGAGACGTGCTTACTTCCCTGCTTAACACTATGTTAGTTATTTCCCCTTATTCACCCCGCAATAGATCACGTATATAAAATTGTAACTTGGCCACCCTCGTTAACGTCAACAGAACTATCGATTTGTATAGCAGGGGGTCACATGAGTTGAGTCCATTGTGGGAGTTTGGGGGTGGAGGGTTGGGGATATGACACGTTTTAAACATGATCTTTATGAGAGTACGTATAGGGGTTTTTTTTGTTGGCATCACATAAAGTTTTGGAATGGATGTTATTTTTGGAGTGTGTGTGTGTGTGTGTGTGTGTGTGTGTGTATAAATGTCTATCTGTGTGCCTGCGTGTCCGTGTGTGTCTGTGCGTTTGTGCAATGAAGAGATGAAGTGTTTGAAAGTACCATTCAGATGCTTTTATGCCACATTATCAAAGAAAGCTTGGCACCAATCTCAGCGTTTGAGATTCACCAGAGGTGTGACCATCGTATGGTACCGTGCGCCGTGCTATGGGAGGGGTTCTCTTTGTGGCTGATAGAATCTATAAAAAGATCAGGAGTTACACAGCAGTTGTTTGTAGGCCCATGAAATATTAAGTGGCATTGGGGCTGGGGGGTTGCGATTTCAGTCTTCTGATCTAGGTTTTCGAAGTTTATTGTTTTCAAAATGGTAGTGATATATATATATATATATATATATATATATATATATATATATATATATATATATATATATATATATATATATATGTATATATATATATATATATATATATATATATATATATATAGTAGCATTTAAAGAAATCATGTTGTTATGTACGATAGTTGCTAGATTGTGGTCTTGCTATGATTACATGATGTTGTATCGCGGTATTTAAGTTCCTCTATTGTGTGGTTAATCCACCATGATGTGTCACGAAACACCATGTCCATTACATGTTACATCATGTAATCGTTATGCTCTAACCAAAGTCGTGACGGGGCGCAGATGTAACGCAGACACATGCCGGAGACTTAACGCCCCCCCCCCCCAGACACTCGCGTTAAACCCCAGATAATTGATAACCGTTATGAATTAACCACCTGCACGTCACGTGATGCGGGGATCACAATCAATGTTATCGTTCTAATCACCAGGCACTTAACATGCGCACGCATGCTCTCATGATCCGAGCTTTGATCACAGAAACGTTGTCATACATGCGAATACACAAACGCATACATACACACACAGCCACACACTACATATATATATATATATAAATATAAATAAATAAATATATATATATATATATATATATATATATATATATATATATATATATATATATATATATATATTCGCGTATCTCCAACAACCGACATAAATATCCTCACCCCTCCCCTACACAAATTAGAGTGAACCAATAAAAATGACCGTAACAAAGAATGCCCACCCGCCTCACGTCTATTTAATGTTTATACCATTGCCTGGCGCCCCGCCATCAGATTTTACGCCCTTCACCCCAGTCGATTTTTTGTTGGCACCGTACCAACTCTACTATACTGGGGTATATCAAAGATTTAACCATTCTAGACTAGAATATATCAAAGATTTAACTCTACCAGACTAGGATATATCACATATTTAACCCCACTAGACTAGGATCTTTCAAAGACAACTTTTATTTATCACCTATCTATTTTTAGACATTTTGTGTCTAGTCAGATATATAGTGCTGCGAGATATTTTGTCTGAGATATTTTGTCTGAGATCATTTGTCCATTATATCATTTGTCCTGATATATTTTTCCTGGTATCTTTTGTCCTGAGATCATTTGTCCGTGAGACATTTTGTCCGTGAGACATTTTGTCTGAGATATTTTGTCTGAGATCATTTGTCCCGAGATCATTTTTCATGGAACCATATATATATATATATATATATATATATATATATATATATATATATATATATATATATATATATATATATATATGCAGATTTAAATAAATATAATTTAAATAAATATATACTTGTATATATATCAAAGATGTGGTTTCCCGTAGAAACTAATAATCCTAAAGTCTTTAACTACATATTAGTCATCCCTACTGGCCAATCAATCAGAAATTAATTAATAAGTTAAGCCAATTTAACAACCAATTTGCTTGCCTATTGGACCAAGACTGATGCCACATCTCTACCCAGCCTATGGCCATCACCGCGTTAATATTTCAAACAAGTAAATGTATTAATGATTACGTTTTAATTCCTTTTTTCAAGTTCTAATTTTTCAAGTGCTCTTCTTCCATCAGGACGAATCAATACTACAACGACATGCAATAACTATTAAAGGGAAATCGTATTTCTATCAATATTTTCTTATAATTGAATGTATGGGCTTTCCCCCCCCCCCTCCCCACACACACACCCTAAACAACGACACAACCAAACTAATTCAGTGCATGCTTTTAACAACACGAAATATGAGCGCCAGGGAAGGGAGATAATTGTGTTCAATAAATTTCAAATGAAGAAGCGTGATAAATTTTGTTTATTAAGCTAAATATATTCCGACGACTCATTGAAAATAAATTAATCAAATTATTAACATCTTTGAATTTAACTACTTAAGAGCTTTAGGATATTTTTTTAAATCAATAGCAATTCACTCTATATACATCGATGCAGTAAATAATGAATAACTGATGTACATTACTTGGGGGTTGTTTTAAGGCTTAATTTAATATAAATGTAACTCAGAGATCTGACTCGTTAGGAACATCATTGGCCTAGGTTTTTTAATGTATCTTGTGGCTATAGCGCAGGTTATATTGACTTAGTTGACGATAAATGGTTTACATTGATTCTTGTCGTAGTTTATTAAAAATAGATGCAGCAGTTTATGGTTTAATTGATCATTAAAAACTTGCCCAGGCGCTCAAGATTACAACAAAAAACAGACGAGGGACAAACTACACATGAAAGGTATCATAGCAAACTAGACAGCGCTACCCAAAATTATATTTTTATTTATATGAAAATCTACTAAACTAATACATAAAAGGTATCGCAGCAAACAAGACTGACATTTGAAAATTATGATATAAAATTCTATGCTATGACAAAAAGGCATTGTCAGCCAAATGTGATATGTGCGGGGAAGTAACTCGGGACGAAGGCAGACAACTCTAATTTTATTTTTCAATAAAGGCAGACAACTCGAACTCTATTATTCAATAAAGGCAGACTACTCTAATCTTTTTTTTCTACAGTGTTTCTACAAAATTAACATGGACTGCACTCTGTGATCTACTAATAAAGCAGAATCATTGCTCTTTGATATACGTCTACACAAGCCAGTTCCTAATACACTCTAAACGGTTGTTTGATTTTGTTTAAATTAGATTAAAAAATTAAGCCTAGGAATTGTTTAAAAAAATCTTTCATAAAGACAGAAAACAAATTTACAAATAATTTTACAAACATAAATTTTTTAGGAGCAATTAATACAATAAGGGAAATACTTACGACATATAACCTCAAGGGGGATAACCGAGAGTTTGAAGAAGTCACACATTTTTGCATATTTTTTTTTTAAAGATTCTACTACTATCTAAAAACAGTTACTCCAACTACAACAAAATCAAACTTTTAAAACTATTCTATTAAAACCAAAACCCGTTTCTCCGAGTTTTCCAAACCAACTTGATGAGCAGAATGCAGTCTTGTAACCGGAAGTTGTTTTCACTTTTGGCTGACAGAAGCCGATGCATCCCAACACGGCGATTGGTCAAAATAAATTCTGACCAATCGCGTGTTTTTTTTTTTAATTTTTTGGTTTTTTCTATAGAAGAAACATATAATGTATAATTATAAAATCTGACTCACCCACATGTTACTCACCATTTCCTTGTGGTTGGGGTAGTATGCCTGATCTATGAGAGGGAAGACCTCTTTACCGAGCCGCTTCTGGATCTCGATCAGCTGAGCGAACTGTGGACAGACCAGTGAAAGGGGGGTGAGTGACCACATGGATGAGGATAGGTGGACAACAGTAACGTGTGCTCACGCGCTTCAGGGTAGCTAGTGCTCACCCGCGCGTGCATGTACACCATATATATGTATATATATATATATATATATATATATATATATATATATATATATATATATATATATATATATATATATATATATATATATATATATATATATATATATATATATATATATATATATATATATATATATATATATATATATATATATATATATATATATGCAAGGTCACAAATGTTAAAGTTATTCTTTTGGACATGGGGATTCATGGGGTACATGAAGTAGAGTATACCACCCCCCCCCCCCCCCCCCCCGAACGAGATGGATTTTATATAGTAAACATACACTTTTACTAGTGTCCGCCCCCCCTCCCGAAAAATGTTGACCCCCCCTCCCGAAAAATGTTGACCCCCCCCCCGAAAATTTCAAGAGCCCGCCCCCCCCCCCTCCCCCGGAGAAAAAAGTCTGGAAGAAATACTGGCTTAAACTTTCGACGAACTCAAGACTTCCAGGTAAACAGTCCTACCTATCGACCACGCCGCACCATCTCACAAATATACACATGAAAAATATGCCCACACATTCTCTTCAACACAAGTAAGTATTACGTGTCAACATGTTATGCGCCATAAAGCCCGTTGATTCCTACTTCAGCCTGCTTTTTGTTCTGGATCTGCTTCCATAGCCTTTGTCCACCCAAAACAAACTACAAGACAGCAGATGGGTTGCTGTCCCCAGCTAACGAGCCCAATACAAACGAATACAATGATCATACTTCAAATAAGTCCACTAATCCTAGAAATTCAATACAGATAATAGATAGACGAATGCGGATTTACATGTGTTTTTAAAAATTACACTGCTAGACTGTATTTTTAATGTGTAAAAATGGTATCGAGAGCTTCTGGAATCCAAACTTGGAGCCATGTACAAAGCACGCAGCTTCCCGTGACGTTTATCATGGAGCCGTGTGCAGTAGCGTAGCGAGAGGGGGGGGGGGGGGGCGGGGGCATATGGGTTGGAAAAATAAATTGAAAGGTCGATGGGGGTGCAAATCGAAAGTTTGAGGGGGGGGGTGCAAATCGAAATCTTGAGGGGGGGGGGTGCAAATCGAAAAGTTTGTCCCCGGGCGCCGGGAAGGGTCGTTACGCCTCTGGCCGTGTGCATCTTCCCGTGACGTTTATCATGGAGCCGTGTGCAAAGTATGCAGCTTCCCGTGACGTTTATCAGAGCTAGAGCCATTAAAAGCATTGGGTAATGTGGAGACTATACGCTTGAGCGATTTCATCAGCCTTCCACGAGATTAAATGTGTAAGGTTTAATCAACGGATTAAATGATTTTAGATTAATGAAGTGTAATCCATTTGACCACCGAGGTTAATGGTTGCTAAAAGCATAATGAGATTTGTCCTACAATTAAGAAAGAATCAAATTCATTTTAAAATTTATGGTATATAAAAAAATATCGAATTCGTGGAACTTAAAGGCAAAAACAAATATGCTAATCAGGTCATTAATAATGCCCCCCCCCCCCCCCAACACACACACACACACACACTACATGATTTAGCTTTTCAATTACCCAGAATCTCGCCCATCTTGAAACAAGAAATTTTTTAAAAAAATTATTGATGTAAAAAACGTGAATCATAAAACGTGTTTTGCACCTTAAATTTAAATATCTGCAGGCTACTTAAAAACATGTCGTTGTATAATTTACAGCAGCAATCGATATCACAACAAATGCACTAAAACAAATTGGCTCTTATAAGGTTAATGAGTACATGTATAGATCAGCTTCAGGCATTACACTGTGTTGCAAACAAAACATACAAGTGTTTGAAAATTTAATGTTTAATGGGTGTGTATCGATTTGTATTTCAAAAATTTAACGCTCAATGGGTGTGTGTATCGATTAGTGTTTGACAATTTAACGTTCAATGGGTGTGTGTATCGATTTGTGTTTGACAATTTAACGCTCAATGGGTGTGTGTATCGATTTGTGTTTGACAATTTAACGCTCAATTGGTGTGTGTATCGATTTGTGTTTAACAATTTAACGCTCAATGGGTGTGTGTATCGATTTGTGTTTAACAATTTAACGCTCAATGGGTGTGTGTATCGATTTGTGTTTAACAATTTAACGCTCTATGTGTGTGTGTATCGATTTGTGTTTGACAATTTAACGCTCAATGGGTGTTTGTATCGATTTGTATTTGACAATTTAACGCTCAATTGGTATGTGTATCGATTTGATCAGCTGACGTTAATGATACTCGTCATCAGTGACGTCACTAGGTCTTGTGTCACCCGGGGCGGTAGAGGGTGTCTATCCCAACCTCCCTCAACAATTTTGATTTTGGGTTTGGTGTCACCCCCTCCGTATCAAGCTGTGAATAGGCCTGTTTGTGACAGTCGGGCAGTGAATGGACCTGTTTGTGACACCCTGTGGCAGGCAGTGAATGGACCTGTTTGTAACAGTCGGGCAGTGAATGGACCTGTTTGTGACACCCTGTGGCAGGCAATGAATGGACCTGTTTGTGACACACTGTGGCAGGCAGTGAATGGACCTGTTTATGACACCCTGTGGCAGGCAGTGAATGGACCTGTTTGTGACACCCTGTGGCAGGCAATGAATGGACCTGTTTGTGACACACTGTGGCAGGCAGTGAATGGACCTGTTTATGACACCCTGTGGCAGGCAGTGAATGGACCTGTTTGTGACAGTCAGGCAGTGAATGGACCTGTTTGTGACACACTGTGGCAGGCAGTGAATGGACCTGTTTGTAACAGTCGGGCAGTGAATGGACCTGTTTGGGACACCCTGTGGCAGGCAGTGAATGGACCTGTTTGTAACAGTCGGGCAGTGAATGGACCTGTTTGGGACACCCTGTGGCAGGCAGTGAATGGACCTGTTTGTAACAGTCGGGCAGTGAATGGACCTGTTTGGGACACCCTGTGGCAGGCAGTGAATGGACCTGTTTGTGACACCCTGTGGCAGGCAGTGAATGGACCTGTTTATGACACCCTGTGGCAGGCAGTGAATGTACCTGTTTATGACACCCTGTGGCAGGCAGTGAATGGACCTGTTTGTGACACCCTGTGGCAGGCAGTGAATGGACCTGTTTATGACACCCTGTGGAAGGCAGTGAATGGACCTGTTTATGACACCCTGTGGCAGGCAGTGAATGGACCTGTTTATGACACCCTGTGGCAGGCAGTGAATGGACCTGTTTATGACACCCTGTGGCAGGCAGTGAATGGACCTGTTTATGACACCCTGTGGAAGGCAGTGAATGGACCTGTTTATGACACCCTGTGGCAGGCAGTGAATGTACCTGTTTATGACACCATGTGGCAGGCAGTGAATGGACCTGTTTATGACACCCTGTGGCAGGCAGTGAATGGACCTGTTTATGACACCCTGTGGCAGGCAGTGAATGGACCTGTTTATGACACCCTGTGGAAGGCAGTGAATGGACCTGTTTATGACACCATGTGGCAGGCAGTGAATGGACCTGTTTATGACACCCTGTGGCAGGCAGTGAATGGACCTGTTTATGACACCATGTGGCAGGCAGTGAATGGACCTGTTTATGACACCCTGTGGCAGGCAGTGAATGGACCTGTTTATGACACCCTGTGGCAGGCAGTGAATGGACCTGTTTATGACACCCTGTGGCAGGCAGTGAATGGACCTGTTTATGACACCCTGTGGAAGGCAGTGAATGGACCTGTTTATGACACCATGTGGCAGGCAGTGAATGGACCTGTTTATGACACCCTGTGGCAGGCAGTGAATGGACCTGTTTGTGACACCCTGTGGCAGGCAGTGAATGGACCTGTTTATGACACCCTGTGGCAGGCAGTGAATGGACCTGTTTATGACACCCTGTGGCAGGCAGTGAATGTACCTGTTTATGACACCCTGTGGCAGGCAGTGAATGGACCTGTTTATGACACCCTGTGGCAGGCAGTGAATGGACCTGTTTATGACACCCTGTGGCAGGCAGTGAATGGACCTGTTTATGACACCCTGTGGCAGGCAGTGAATGGACCTGTAGTGTGACACCCTGTGGCAGGCAGTGAATGTACCTGTTTATGACACCCTGTGGCAGGCAGTGAATGGACCTGTAGTGTGACACCCTGTGGCAGGCAGTGAATGGACCTGTTTGTGACACCCTGTGGCAGGCAGTGAATGGACCTGTTTGTGACACCCTGTGGCAGGCAGTGAATGGACCTGTTTGTGACAGTCGGGCAGTGAATGGACCTGTTTGTGACACACTGTGGCAGGCAGTGAATGTACCTGTTTATGACACCCTGTGGCAGGCAGTGAATGGACCTGTTTGTGACACCCTGTGGCAGGCAGTGAATGGACCTGTTTGTGACACCCTGTGGCAGGCAGTGAATGGACCTGTTTATGACACCCTGTGGCAGGCAGTGAATGGACCTGTAGTGTGACACCCTAAGGCTGGATGTCAATGGAATTCCTGTTTGTGTCACCCCAGGTCATGCTAAAGCTTCTAATCGCATTAGCTTAAAGTAAAAAAAAAAACAATAAAAAAAACACAAAAACTGACTTCTTCCGAGCGACACGCCCGTTGCTAGGCAACGCCACACATGCACAACCTGCAGCGCATAAAGAAAAATCGTTCCGATTGATACATTTTCAATCGCTTCCGCTTGATATTATCGATATTATCACAATAGTCTGCCAATTAGTACCGTTACGGATTGCTAAATTTCACAAAGTATCGCAACACAGCGAGTAAATGTCACTAAGAATCGATACCGCAATGTATCTTCAATTAGGTATCGTAGTCGCCAATTAAATTTAACTAAGTATCGATTTCACCTTGTACTTTTCACTAAACATCGTATTCACCATCTATCTCTTTGACGGAGAGCTGGTATCGAAACGAAATTTCAAATGC